GCAAGAAAGGCACCAAATCCCACGGGAAAAACAAGGCGCGTTAGGGACAGCACGGCCCAGGGGACCAGTCCCCTGGAGCCGACCCGGCGCGTTGCCTCCATCTTACCAGACAACTCATACAACACAAGCCCATTATCCTGATCTCAGTTTTCGACGGGATCGGCACAGTGTCACTTGCCCTGCACCAACTGGGCGCCAACGTCTCCCACTGTTTCCGGTGGGAAACCGATCAGTCCTGCAATCAGCTACCTCATTCACTCTTCCCCACGACGCACATGGGCGCCGTAGAAGATTTTGACATCGAACAACTGGCTGCGATCATCCAGGACATACCCAATCACGAGAGACACATTATCCTCTTCACCGGTGGCCCACCGTGCAAGGACTACTCCAACATTAAACAACACCAACCGGGCCGGGCCGGCTCACAGGGCAGCCTCTTCGACACCGCACTCTCCATCCGCGACGACATTCAGAACAGATGGCCACATCAATCGCTCACCCTGCTAGAGAATGTCGTGCCTCACCCCGAGGTACGCGACGACTTCGACCAGCTGTCCCACTCCATGGGCCTACGCCCAGTCCTGATCGACGCGGCCGACGGCCAAATCATCTCTCGTCCCAGAATCTGGTGGGCCTCGGTCGATTGGGAATCCTTGCCTGCCACATTGAGCAGGCATACACCTTGGCAACTCTCCCTCGACACTCAGCTGTTCCCACCGGTGCTCTTCAATCCCATTGCAGCCGAACTACAACCAGACTGTCACATCCGGGACTTCGACCCGCCGAGTGTCCTAACACACGGACAACTCTTCCACTGCCTTACCACCCAGGCCAGTACGGACGAAGGCCGCCCACCACCACGCAGCCAACAACTACCAGACGACACATGGCAACGGTGGCAAGCCGACCACAAACAATTCGCCCCGTGGCAATACCAACAGAAATACCTGGTCCGGAAACACGGACACGACTGGCAAGTCGCAACACCCGAGCACCGCGAAGCAATGATGGGATTCCCGCGCGGCTGGACGGGACCACACAACACCGACCGGACCAGGAACACCATGCTGGGGAACTCCTGGCATGTGCCCACAGCCATGTGGATCCTATTCCTTTTGCTACTACAGCCAGCCTTCGGAATTCCCCCGCCCACGCAGCGGGTACGTCGCGGATCCCTCGGAATGATGGTCGACCTCTGGCTTCACAACCCACGACCATGGGGACCACCTCCGAGAGCATCGGAAACGCTACATATGCCACAGAACGACTGGCAGGACCACTTGACCTGGGCCAAACACCACGCTACCTCGCTGCAACAGCCCCAGCACTGCGACCCGACCATTTTGTGGGCCATCGCAATGCAAAGGACCATACCACAACTGCCACAACTACAGCACAACGTGTTACTCGACATCGCGGACCTTCGCGATGACCTGACTACAGATACACTTGCATGGTTCGAACAGCTGCCCCCACACTGCCAGCGAGCCTATCGACAACCGAAGATGATCACTCAGGTACCACTCATGACACACTTGCTACATTTGCTTAACTACCCACAGGCACAACTCCTGCACGAGGAACTCTCTCTAGGCTTCGACCTCCTGGGGCCTCTGCGACCCGGAGTCAATTGGCACATTCGCCACGACCACAAATACCTGGACCCATGTGACCTTGCAGAACTCAGGTCATTCAACAAAGCCTACATCCAGCGCAAATTACAACAACACAAGATCGACGACCACTGGACTCTTATGGCCACCGAAATCGCGGGGGAAGTGGCCCAGGGACGTATGGCCGGCCCCTTCGAGGCACCGACTCATTGGACCTCTCGCACAGTACCCCTGCACCTTTTCCCCCACACCAGCCGGCTCCTTCCTATCCCACATCGCGATCCCATTGTGGCAGTCGCATTCAGCATACAACAGACCGGATCGGACGGAAAACCCAAAGTCCGGAGAGGAGAAGACTGGCGCCGCAGCGGCCACAACCAGACGTGCTCTATGCACGATCAACCCTACCATCACACACCCGACCACTACATCCAATGTGCGAGACAATATCACGACGACGCACACCCGCTACATGTGTGGGGACACGACCACGACGGCGCCTACCGTCAACTGCCCCTCGCACAACCGGAGGTAGCATACGTGCTACTCATCACACCCGACGGCCCAACTCTCTGGCACCACCACGTGCTCCTGTTCGGCTCCGCTGCCAGCGTCTGGGGCTACAACCGCTTCGGCGATGCACTCACAGCACTCGCCCGCGTACTAACACTCACACCTGCCCTGCACTACGTTGACGACTACGGGGCCATACAACCCAGTCACATCGCGACCAGTTCCTTCTCCTCATTCAGCAAGCTCAACTCACTACTTGGATTTCATATGAAGACATCCAAGGAACAACCACCGGCGCCCTCTCACAAAATACAAGGGGTTTATGTCGACCTGTCGGCAACACACGCAACCCTTCGACCGTGCCCAGACCGAGTCCGTACACTGTCACACACCCTGTCTCAGTGTCTCGAACAGGGAGGTATGTCGAACGACACCGCCCGACGCACTGCCGGCAAGTGCAACTTTGTCACCGGACACCTGTTCGGTCGAGTAGGGCGATCGGCGTTAGCCGCCCTATACCACAAAGCACACAGCACTTCCGACCGGATCGACAAACCAACTCGAGCTGCCATTCTGTGCCTCCTGAATATCCTGCAACATAGCTCACCCCGCAGCGTCCCACTGTCCACCAGGCCCAAAGACCTTTCAATCATATACACCGACGCGTTCTGCCGGCAGGGCGAGACGGTCTGGCGTGTCAAGGACGCAGGGGATCAGGATTGTCTGCCACCCGAGTGGTCGCACGACAACGGATGGGCAGCGGTGCTGTTCAGCCCACAGGCACAAAGGACCCGCGTGGTCTCGGGCGCACTACCCCCTAACTTACTCCAACAAGTGAGTACTGGCACCAACGCCATTTATTTCCTCGAGGCATGGGCCGCGTTGATCGCTCCTGTGATCTTTCGACCATGGATCACTGACACATACCTCCAGTTGTGCGACAACGAAGCGGCCAAACACGCCATCAGACGGGGAGTTGGGAAACACCAACCACTAAACTGCCTGCTCGGTGCACATTGGACATGGCACAACCGACAGCAATTGCAGTTGCATATTGCCCGTGTGCCCACACATGCTAATATAGCCGACCCCTTCAGTCGACATGACATGTCCTTGCCTCGAAGCACCACTGGCAGATTCTGGAACCCCCCATGCACGCTCTACATAAACGGACGTGCAAAATCATTGGCGATATTGAGTTCGCCCATGCCGTCGGATTTGACGACATAAAGGAACTCCAACAGTTCCACAGGAATCATTCCTCCTGAACCCGACTTGACTTCCACGTCCCGTGAGAATCTTGTCCACAGTAAGGAGACTTGATCGATGTAAGGATGCCTTCAACGTGCCTTTTGTCTAGGTCGTTCGCCTTCGGCTTCACCTTCGACGGGAGTTGACCTACGACGGGAGAACGTCCACTCCCTCTTCGAAACTCTGCTGTACAACATTTTGGGTTTGCATGCACTTGCATTTGCTTACCTTTTATTTTGTTGTACTTTACTTTCGAGTCAGTGGTGTCTGAGAGACACGCACACCGACTCCAGAGATTGAAACAGATCGACCAACAGGTACGATCCCACCCACTTGAGGCAGTGCGGTGAAAATAAATCGACCGACGCTGGTTGCCGTCGTACTCTCTGGAGCGGTTTGTTGTTGCGGTTAACACTTGTGTTAAAAGTAACAACCGATAGCGGAAGGCATTTGAATCACACTCAGATTCGAACCTTGAGTGCCTGCAGGATGACACTGCTTGATTCATGCTCCGTTCGCCATTTTGGCGAATTAGCCAAATTTTTCTTTCCCACCCACCCTCACCAGTTTTCACTGCATGCCCTCAGTACCTGTCGGTCTGCATTTATAGCATCGAGTGAGAGGACGGGAGAACGTCCACTCCCTCTTCGAAACTCTGCTGTACAACATTTTGGGTTTGCATGCACTTGCATTTGCTTACCTTTTATTTTGTTGTACTTTACTTTCGAGTCAGTGGTGTCTGAGAGACACGCACACCGACTCCAGAGATTGAAACAGATCGACCAACAGGTACGATCCCACCCACTTGAGGCAGTGCGGTGAAAATAAATCGACCGACGCTGGTTGCCGTCGTACTCTCTGGAGCGGTTTGTTGTTACTTAGCTCCCGTAATTGTAACTAGTTTGGTTAAGTAAGTGAGTTTTGTGAGGCTGGTTGAGTTGTTGGTTGGTAAGTTAGGTTAGGCCAGGTTGGGTTGGGTTAGGTAGGTGGATTATGCCATTTTGTTTAGTTTGTCAGCATGGTTAGTTGGCTTGTTTGCTTATTTACTTGCTTGCTTGCTCGCTTGCTTGCTAGTGTGTTTATTGGTTTGTTTGTTAGGCCACTCTGCGTCAGTTTAGGTAAGTGTTTGATGGTGTTCGGTTTGGTTCTAATGATTTGCCAGCAGAATCCATCTACTTTTTTTGAGCAAAGTTCCCAGGCTTGCTGACGAGTGCGAGAGACATTAAGGCTTGCAAGTAGGGGCTGGCAAGTAGCTGTGGGGTATCTGATGTTTTTCCCCGGCATACTGCTGATGGACGAACTCCATTTTGAGTTAGTTGGTAAGTGGTTTATCTCATTTGTAGGGGTTCCTCCATCCCAACTGGTGCAGGATTGCGCCCATCCACGGTAGGTGTCCTGTAATATGTTAGTTTGTTTGAACATAGATGAGTTCCAACGGATGTTTTAGTTTGGTTTCAACGGTGTACGAAGTGGCGTCTGTGTTGCTTCAGGACATCTGGGTTTGTGCTTTCGTGAGAGTATGTGAGGGTTGCCCTTTCGGGTTGGTTTCAAGGGCAGCCAAACGGAACACCACTGAGGGCGTTCGCAGAAAGTCCGTTACCGTTTCGGATTCGCCGCAAGGCCGCGTTGCTGTGGTCCCTCAGGAGCGGGTGAAGTGGGTGAAGGGATCACCTGGGGTGACCTTTGTCCTGCCATCTCCTTCCAGAAATGCTCGAAGCCATTCAAGCCCAAGCATATCCGCCCCCTTGGGACCTCCATGGCCTTAGCAGCAGACTATGGGGACTGTCTAGAGTATCTTCGGGACAAAGTGGGCCAGCACGAGACATCTCCAGAATCCAGCGGGTTGTCCGAATTTGGCGTCTTTTTGGGTATCCCCGTTAAAAGGTAGCATGTATCGGCGGCACCAGGGTTCACAGAGGGGCCATCACCAACCCCCCCTTCTCGTACAGCAAAATCTGAGTAACTGGTTAACCCTCATATTGCCATGCGGGAAGCAAGATGTCGAGATGTTAGTCTCAAACGAAAGCAACCCCCAAAACATGGGAGGGGTCCCCTTGAGCCCCCGTTCAACAACCCCGCGGCAAGGAGGTGATGCTTTACCGTGGCACCTGGCGACAAAATCTGGACCCCATGGATGAGTTCAACGAGGAGCGGGGACTCGCGAAATTCGTTGTCGGGAAGGATACCTGCAGGGATCCATACATAAGTACATATGTATATATGCATATATATATATATATTGTTATTTTTTGGCTAGTTTGAGCATACCATGTTGGCCTTGGCGGGCTTTTCTTTATTCAGGAGGTATAGGGAGCCCCGTTACCAGAGTCACCAAATCAGGATTGGGGGGTTCAACCACTTGTTTAAGCCATAGTTTCAAACTCGGTACCTCACAGAGTCGGCATGCCCTTTAGAGTCACCGAGTATTTGGACACTCATATTGTTTCAGGGTCAATTGTCACCATGTCATCCGTCCAGCGTGTTTGGAAATGAAAGGGAGGCAGAAGTTCCTGAAGCATCGCGAGCACCCTATGTGGTTCTGGGGGCCTTTGCGTGGAAGTCCTCCGCGACCAACGGGGGTCGCGCTCCATGTCCAGCTGACGCCGCTCGAAAGTGGCGCACTTGTCCCGGCATCCAGCTCGCTGTTGGAGAAGCTGTCCCCGAACCAAAAT